AGAGAAATGATGGCCTTTGTGATTCTAAGTAAGAGGCAGCAAAAGCCAAGTCGCTTCGCTTTCCTCCCTCTGATACTGTGACTGGAGCGTTTGCTGGCATTGGGCAGGAGGCTTTGTGGTGAGTGCTGTAGGAAGCCACAAATCCACCATTCTCAGGTGCACACCTACAAATGCACACCTTCTGCATTGATTGTTTCAGCATCATCAATGAGCACGCGCCATGGGTACCTCGTTTCATGAAGGGTTTTAGTTGATGTGGGTGTTTCATGCAAACGAAGGGGGCATTTTTGTGGACAGAAGGAGATCCAGGAGGAAAACATGTTTATTTTCAGGAATTTGAAGGGCTCGTAAGCAGAAGAGACTTCAGGCTTCTTTAGAATTATCATGAGTTGTCCCTGAAGCAGAACTAGACCAGTGTTCTTCATATGGTTTGTTATTTGAGTCAATAATGAAAATATCTCACATGGCGTTCCACCACTGAGTGTGTATGGCCCTTGCTTGCCTTTCCAGCCTCGTGTCTCGCTGAGACCCTCTAGCACCCTGTTGTCCAGTCACCTGGCTCCTCTTTCAGCCCCTCACACTTTCTTCTGCTGCTCCTGCCTGGGGTCACACATGATTACAGTGCAGTTGGCTCAAACTTCACACCCAGGGGTGTCTCTTCTAAAATATTGCCATTAGAAGGGGACCCATATAACTCATTGCTTTTATGCACGGGTTGATGGATTTCTTTGTCATCACTCAACAAGTATTAATAGTTCCTACGACATGTGAGTCTAACACCATCCTCAGGCCTTGCCCTCGAGAGCGCCTCAGATAAGATTCTCCCCAGAGCACTCCCGCTGTTTCTCATCCTGACACCTCCCACCCCCCACACTTGATGGGAAGCTTCTTCAAAGTGACAAGGAGAGTGCCCATTTGGTAAAGGATTTCTTCTCTAATGTCTAGTCCAGTGCCTGACACACATACTAGCAGCAACTCAATATGGTTGAGTCATGATAGAAAAATAAATTAATGAATGCAAAAAGACAGTGAGTTTCTGTCCACTGAAGTATTGTGCAGAGAGTGGATACCCATCTGATAGAGATCTTTTAGAAAAGGTGTTCCTTTGGGCATATACACACCACACCACATTGTAATTGTTGGTTTCCTGAGCTTACTTCCCCATTTGACTGTAAGCCCCTTGAGAATGGGTGCAGATTTGATTTGTTTTTGAAATCCTACACAATAAGCATACACTCAGTGTTTGGAAAGTGTACAAAAAGCCTATTTTCCGAGAATGGACTCTTTACAGAACAAGAATACTGGAGCACTGAAGGGAAAAAAAAATGGTAATAATAGAATTCACTTGCTTTGCCAGGCCACTAAGAGTACCTTGGTAAATATTAGCTAAAGTACAGCCCTTTGCTTGCTATTAAGATTTACTGATTTCAATAGAAAGTAACCTAAAAACCGTACATGCTACACCACATAGACAACCAGGGCCAATCTCTGACTAGCCCATAGTACAAAAAATACATATTTGCTCTGTCTGTGGTTAGATTAGATGTCATCGTCTAAGCAAAGTAGGCTATGTGCTGATTATAATGGGTCTGCCATGTGAATGATGGGTTTGGTCAAGGGATGGATTTATCCCATATTCTTACATTCTCTAGGTATCATTCTTCTCATTCTTTGAGTAAATAAATCAACAGCATTGGCCAACACAGTACATGTGAAAACTACCTTCAGTAAATGCCAGATTTTATAAAATAACTCCAACAATAAAGACTGCTTTAAATCTGTTTCTTACATAACGCAGACTATTGTATAGAGAGATTGACCCGGTATCTTGTTTCTTCCTTGTGTGACCTTACTTTCATCTTACAAATACGTACTGATCTAAGTCTATATATTCACCTGTATCTTTGTGAGCACTTGGAAATCTCAGGATCTCAGTGTATTTCAGAGAACAGGCTCAGAGATCGATGATAACTAATTCTTTCTGGTGAAAAGCTAATAGGCATGACCTATGAGAAACAGCAAGAGAGCTATATAGAGCGTGGCAAAGGAGAGGAGGAAAATGCTGGAACTCAAGCCATGCCTGCTGCCCAGGGACCTTAGCTGGGGGGTTGTCATGTCTTAGCATGACGGTATTCAAGCCATGTGAGGTCTGGAAAAAAAATACATACCCCGCTTGGGGCTCAGTCTGAGAACAACCAATTGCCTTGGTTTAAGCTACCCAACTCCACTATCAAATTAAATGTTTTCAAGCTAATAGAAATTAGCATCAGTCCACTGACCAAACCCTAAAATAAATTAGGCCGAATCTAAAAGAAATCAGCCTGCAGACAGAGACCAACTCCCAAGGCCACTTCCTTGCTTTCCCCAGACATGGATACATCGGGTCGGAATATGCTTAGGATGTTGGTAAGTGCAGATGGTCTGGGGAAAGCATTATAAGCTGATTGCTTTTGTTTTAGCTCTTTGCAAGTCCAGGCAGATATTTTATTAGTAATGCAGGCAAGGAAACTCAGACTTATCCAAGAGATAAATAAGAGGTTACTTATTCACTCTATAGAAACATTCTTTTTTTTAAATTTTTTAAAATTTATTTATTCATGAGAGACAGAGAGAGAGAGAGGCAGAGGGAGAAGCAGGCTCCCTGCTGAGCAGGGAGCCCGACGCGGGACTTGATCCCAGGACCCCGGGATCATGACCTGGGCCGAAGGCAGACGCTTAACCATCTGAGCCACCCAGGCGCCCCTAGAAATATTCTTTATCTTCGAAAATGAAATGAACTTAGGAGAGACTAGAAGAGAAAAGTTGTGAGGAAGGAAAACTCAGAAGTTGTGCTTTGGGAGCCAACTCTGGAAATACGTGTGACAAAGAGAATATGGATTCGCCTGATAAATGTGGCTTGAGAATTATTATTTTATTTCTATGAAGAGCTTTTAAAACAGTGTGTGAGCTTCCATGAACCCAGGAGAGGGAGGAACGTAAACCAGGTTAAACTACGTGTGTGCAGAGAAAGGAGAGAGGCTGGGGAGGGAGCAGACTCTTCAGTGTGCCTCACCTGGGACCAACCCTTACGACTCTTTGGGGACTTGAGGTCCATGAGGGTTGGGTAGGATGTGGGCAGGGCCCTCTGAGTGTGTGCACTGCTGTTTGTTCTCCTGGTAGCATTTTCTTTCTCTGTATCTATAGAACTTGTCCTCAGAATTTCAAATCACCACAGCTGTGGTTTTCTTTTTACCTCTTCTACCTGGTGTTGGCTTCTTATGTTTTCACCTGGCTTAAGGCTGTGAAAAAAACAGCGTGGGATAGTACTTTTGTTTAAAATGTATCACTAAGTTGGTTTCGCTTCCTGGTTTGTATGAATAAACATATTTTTGAAGGGGGATTTTGAAATCTATTTTAGAAACATATTTGCATTTAATTAAAAATACCACGAAGACATTGCTAACCATGGTGGGCACACCTTGGACTGGGGGAGGGCACATCTAGGGGAGGAGGTAGTCTAGTGTTGATGACTGTGGCTTTCATCATTGTTGGCTGTTTAGGGGAAAATCCCTTCACTTTTTTTTGCTGTAAACTGGAAGTCATAATAATGTCATCAACAAGAAACCATTGAGTAGATGGTATTTTGAAGAGCTTACTTCATTCACTGAATTATTCCATTTAAGCTCATTGAATAACTATCGAGTGTCCATAGACTGTGCTAGCAGCTGGGGTAGAGGAGTGAGTAAAGCATGGTTCTACCTTTATGGAGAATTATTTGGATTTTATTTAAATCAGAGCTTCCCAGCCCTTCAGCTTAGAATCAGGGAAGAAAGCGTGAGCTATTGATGGTGACCATCATACCATTCCTCTTAGGAATCTTGGCACATCATGGAGAGAAAAAGGGAACAGGCTTGCAGCTCCACTGAGCAAACTCCTGAGCTCATAGGGTAGGACTTGACCAAACTGTATTGAGGAACTCTGTTCTAAATCGTCTCAAACATTTAAAAAAAAAAAAAAAAGGAAGTTGACCAATATTCGTCTTAAAATGTTTCAGGCAAATCTGACTTTAGAATATAAAATTTAATAACTGAGATGCAGCATATTAGAGTTTCCTCTGGACTGGAAGCAGGGAACCTTATGGTTTATGTTTTTAGTTGTCATCCTGCCACTGGTTAGTACACGACTTTGGCTATGTCATTAAAAGTTTCTGAATCTCTGTTTCTTCACTGGATAAATGAGAAAGTTGAATTGGTCCAGATTCCTTTTTTTTTTTTTTTAAAGATTTTATTTATTTATTTGAGAGAGAAAGAATGAGAGACAGAGAGCATGAGAGGGAAGAGGATCAGAGGGAGAAGCAGACTCCCGCTGAGCAGGGAGCCTGATGCGGGACTTGATCCTGGGACTCCAGGATCATGACCTGAGCTGAAGGCAGTCGCTTAACCAACTGAGCCACCCAGGCGCCCCCAGATTCCTTTTGATATTGAGTGATAATAGCAGTAAAGAAGATGCTTTAGGTAGTAGAGCGATGAATCTTTTTTATGGTTATTTATTTTTATATTTTACAAAAAAATATAAGTAGTCCTTCCAGCTTCTGCTTTCACAGATATTTTTGCTTAGCAGAAGGCAAAAATTTATTAAAGGAAAAGGAGAATTGATTTAAAGAGTAATACCAGATAAATCATAGTACAGGTCATAATTGGTTATCACAAGCATTTTTAAGTTTGTGTGCCACTGACTAAGGCCAGGAAACATTTGAACACATGCCCTCTTAAGTTCCTTCCATTTCGATCTCCCTGTAATTATTTTCCCTCTTTATATCTAAGCAATATGGTCTCTTGGTGGAAAGTTTCTGTTGAAAATAGTGTTGCGGTATCCAGAATAAACTGTCAGCTTTTCTGAATGCTCAGTAATTCAGATTGTTTTGAATGGTCTTTCATATATAGTTAGCTCTTCATGTGAGGCACCTAGTCCACTGCTGCTGTAAACATCATTTCATTTTGTTTGTTTTTGATATGTTTCAGATCAGAGTGTTGACAGAAAGAATGTTCAAACATCTTCGGAAATGGTTTGTTGCTCACTTTTTGGGGCATTCTCGGCAGAGAGCAAGGCTGGTCTCCAAAGATGGAAGATGCAACATAGAGTTTGGCAACGTGGAGGTCCAGTCAAGGTTTATATTCTTTGTGGACATCTGGACAACTGTGCTTGACCTCAAATGGAGATACAAAATGACCATCTTCATTTCAACCTTCTTGGGCAGTTGGTTCTTCTTTGGTCTTCTGTGGTATGCGGTAGCCTACATCCACAAAGATCTCCCTGAGTTCCATCCTTCTGTCAACCACACCCCTTGTGTGGAGAACATTAATGGCTTGACCTCAGCTTTTCTGTTTTCTCTGGAAACACAAGTGACCATTGGATATGGATTCAGGTGTGTGACAGAACAATGTGGCACTGCCATTTTTCTTCTTATCTTCCAGTCTATACTTGGAGTCATCATCAATTCTTTCATGTGTGGTGCCATTCTAGCCAAGATCTCCAGACCCAAAAAACGTGCCAAGACCATTACATTCAGCAAGAACGCAGTGATCAGTAAGCGGGGCGGGAAGCTTTGTCTCCTAATCCGAGTGGTTAATCTTAGGAAGAGCCTCCTTATTGGGAGTCACATATATGGGAAGCTCCTGAGGACCACAGTCACTCCTGAAGGAGAGACTATTATTTTGGACCAGATCAATATCAACTTTGTAGTTGATGCAGGGAATGAAAATTTATTCTTCATCTCCCCATTGACAATTTACCATGTCATTGATCAAAACAGCCCCTTCTTCCACATGGCAGCAGAAACCCTTCCCCAGCAAGACTTTGAATTAGTAGTGTTTTTAGATGGCACAGTGGAATCAACCAGTGCTACCTGCCAAGTCCGAACATCCTATGTCCCAGAAGAGGTGCTCTGGGGCTACCGTTTTGCTCCCATGGTATCCAAGACTAAGGAAGGGAAATACCGAGTGGATTTCCATAACTTTAGTAAGACTGTGGAAGTGGAGACCCCTCATTGTGCCTTGTGCCTTTATAATGAGAAAGACACTAGAGCCAGGATGAAGAGAGGCTATGACAATCCCAACTTCAACTTGTCAGAAGTCAATGAAACAGATGACACCAAAATGTGACAGTGGTTTTTCAACAGGAGTAAAGCAAAATCTTGAAGATACCTAGTGACTAGAAGTATTAGGAAGCAATCAACAATTTGAGGATATGAAATTAGGACAAGAGCCTTCAACGTCTATCAGCACCATGCCCCTGAATCCCACAGCCACGATCTTACAAGACAGGTAGCTCTACAAGTCAACTGCATTAGAACATGCAATATTCTTACAGGAAATAGCAGTATGGAAGCCATAGTAGTTCACTTGGAATCTTGAATATGATTATTTGAAATCATGCAGTGTTGATAGAAACAAAATCATCAAAAGTTTCACAGACAGGCCAAATGAGATCTTAAAAGTCTCCTTGAAGAAGTTATGAGCTTTAGATAGGATCTGGGAAAAACCATATTCTCATTTTTAGTCTACTGATAAGAAATAAGCCACTTTTAACATTGGTTTTTATCAAGGGAAAAATGGTCTCCCTTAGAGAGCCATTTTTGGTTGGTTGGAGGAGATGAACTAATCAGAGACAGTAAGAAAAGACTGGTAGGTACTCCAAGAACATTTGTGAGGCTCTGAGCTTCTCCAGCCCTGGTTGTTGGAGCTTTCATCTTAGTCTGGGTCATGCTGTGTTTCCTGAAGAGCAAGGGAAGGCTCCAGCCACGGACCTTGCATCTCTATGTATCCAATGTGGAGAGGAACACTGAGCTCAACCTGCTTTATGGTACATCCAGACACTGCAGCCCAAGTTGGGTTTTGGCCCAAATGATCTCACGTGGTACATTTAGGGGCTAAATCACCACTCTAGAATCTCAATGAATACTTTCCTAAAGAACGAATGCTTGATTTGAACATGGTGGTGATATTTCTTCCAATCTGTGTTAGGTGGGATAAAGGGCTACAAATCTGTTAAAAGAATATTTCCTGATCTTCCAAGAAGGCAGTGAAGAGTTTAAAGGCACAATGTCAGTTTAGAAGGGACAATACTGCTAGTGCTTCTGAGAAAAAAAGTACCTTGTGTTTTTCTGCCTTGAGTTTGTACTGAAATGCTGTTTCTAAAGAAGACTTGTGGAAAGGAAAGGGATGGTCTGTGACCCCCTCAGGGAGGCAAACATGAGGTGTGTTTTTCTCTGAGGGCCGACACTGCATCTTCCTCAAAGGGACCAACTTAATACAAGGATTGATCTCTAGGGAAGGGATTTACTCTGAATGTCTCATTCGGTCCTCCACCTCTATTATTTTGAATCTATCCTGGGAGGAATGGGACTCAAAGCTCCTTAGGAATCAAAATGTTTTCAGTGTGTTGATTCATATATTAAATCTCTGAAACTGTGCACATGCTTTCCGAAAGTGTCAGTTATTGTGTGTTAACTGTAACAGACTGACAGGTGACATGTGTGTTAACTGTAACAGACCGAACAGGTGACATCCCTCTGGCTGAGGGTGGACTTTCTCCTGGGCGATGTGGGAGGGGTGGGAACATGGCAAATAAGACCATATGTTGTCTGGACACCAGCTTACCCTGGGGGAAAAGACCCTGTGGTTACAGACATGCCTTTTCCCTGTACCACTCCTGATGATCACTCCAATGTGTCTTGGACACACAAAGTGGTCGTTGTGGCAGTTTTCACTGGGGATGGTTCTGTTTTCCCAGGCCTGGGCATGAGTTTGTTCAGATTCAGACACACGCTCTGGTCCTTCCGACCGAGATCAGTATGAAGTCTGACGGGCTAAGAGTTGTGCACTTTGTCAGTGGCCGTAACACTGGACGCAACTGGCCCACACGGGAGATTAGTCTGTGCCCTATACATGAGCTGGCACCGCAATTTGATCTATTGACAAAGCTGAAGGAAATGAGGTATGAAAATCTTGAGGAAGCCAGAATTCTCTGGTGGCCCACTGTCATAAGGTTTTATGACTCTGTAGTCCCTTCATAAACTGGAGGGTCAGAACACATTCCCTCTGGTCTGTTCTGCTCATTAACAGCATGCTCGGGGATTGCTGGAAGTGAAATGATCTTATAAAATCTACTCCTTTTGATGGTTAAGAGAGCTGAAAAACTGGAATCCTTCTGGGTTATTCGGTGGAAATCTGTGCTTTCAAATATTCCTTTATTAGGATTAAGGCATTCTGCTATCTGGCGTCTCTTTCTTCATGCAAATTCCCATTGAACCTCTAGCAACCATTAATATACTTACATCCAATAAAGCCCTGAGGAAATGAGGGTCAGCAGGTACCTTTTAATAATCCTAAGGAGTGGCCGGAACCCAAAAGCAGCATAAAAAACCTGGACGTTTAAAAAGAGGGGTGACCAAAGGCATAGGAGCTCAGTGAGTAAAGAAAATAAATGGGAAATAGAAGGTTCCAGAAGGCTAACTTGCCTACAGGTTAATGCCAATGCTAAAGGCAGGCTTTTTATTCCAATGAAGTAACATTGTTCCCAGTAGGACCTGACCATGTTAGTACTGTAATTGCTACAGGTGCGCTGTATTGTTATATTTACTTAATTATCTATCCATTCTGAAAGCAATTCAGTATTTCTTATTCCTTCCAAGAAAAACTGCATCCCATGATGCTGTACCATATTCAGAGTTTTCCTTGGCACCGACTCCCCTTGAAGTGCCCAATTTAGCTCTGTTGCTATGAGGGTTTTGATTTGGAGAGTCCCAACCTGGTCTAATCTCCTAGGACTTAGGTCGACTCTGGTGCCAATATTCAGATTTAAGATTTGGGAGATGGTCTAAAAATTTATTCCACAAGAGAGAAAGTGTGGAAGGAAAAGATCCTCTCTCTAAGCTGCCAGATCTAAGAAGTGAGATGATCAGAGTGTCTGTTTCCACGGCTAATGGGTGTGTCACAGGACAGCAAAGAACTTTCCTGGTGGACTGTGTGGATAGTTGAGGAGGTGCCTTCCTTGGAGATTTTTCACAAAATGGGACATGGCTTCTCCGCGGGATGGTTTGGTGAATAGCGTGGGGGATCTTTCCCCATCTAGAACAAACGTGAAAACCTCTGATGCAAAGAATGCAAATGAGCCCCTGACCCCACCCCTGGGCCGTTGTTGTCTGCCCTTACAGGAAGTGCATGTCAATCAAAGCTTGACAGGGGAGATAGAGCATTTTATTTTGGAAGCCAGAAGTTTGAGAACAATGACTGGAATTTCCTCTTTCTGTCCAGAAAGGGCTGTTTGTCACTGGGGAGATAAAAGTCCAGGGGTAGGGAATAAAGGTTATCGGGAACAGCGCAACACAGAGCCGTGGGGGGGGGGGGAGGTGTGGGCGGGCTGCAGCGGGAGGAGGGCTTATGGAGGAAATCTATTTCAATGCCTGTCATTGAGTTTCCATTAAAAGAACATTCAGTTAGGAATTCAAAAATAATTTAATCTCCCCAGCCAGATGCACCCAGCTGGACTCCTTGGAGCCGAGCCCTGCAGACAGGGAGATCTGCACCGGGGGCTGCAGGGGCTAGGAACTCCTGCATCTCCAACCGATGCAACCTTGACTGCCCTGGGTGTCGTGGAAGGTGTGGGCATCTTTCAGGTTCGTGAGACACCCCAAGACCTGCGCTCTAGCAGAAGAAACTTAATGCCAGGGGCTACTTACTGAGTTCTTACTAGGTTTTAGGTTCTGTTTTAAGCATTTCATATACATTATTTAATTTCCCCAATGCTTCTATGAGGTACTATTTTTACATTTATTTTTCACTTGAGGTAGCTCAGGTAAGAAACTTGTCCAGAGTTACTAGCTAGTAAATGGCAGGGCTGGGATTCAAACTCCGATCTGTCTTGAAAGCCCACATGTTTAAAATGGTTCAATTCTGCATCCTACCATGGGTCCCCCTCTGAGAGGACCCACCAGGGCCATCAGACGTTTACCATAAACCCAAGGAAAACTGGCACATATTTCTGGTCCTGTCTTACACTTTGGGAGAAGCCCCTCATTGCTTAGCACAAGGTGGAGCTTCTGGTTAGAGCTTAATAAACCTCTCTGGACTTACATGTTCTAGGAAGTGGTAGTGCTTAACCAGGGCCTCTGGAGAATCGGCTAGGTCAGCATCTGGAAATACCGTGGCTATCCTGAAGATCTGCCTAGACTGTTGGTGCAAACTCTCTTCCTACATCTACATATATGCTAATTATACATGTATACGTGTTGTTTTATTTTGATCTCTGAGTAGTCTTTCACTGGAGGTAGAGACAGATATTATTTCCATTTTGACAGATGGGGACATGGAGCCTCAGTTATCCCTGGAGGACAGTGTCTCCATTCTCCATTCACCTCTGTGTTTCTGGCACCAACACTGTGTCTCACGTGGCCAGTAAGTGGTTTTTGCATCAGTAAATGGATGAATGAAGGATTTGCTCGAGTCAGTATGGTTCGGAGTGGATTTGAAGCAATATCCATCCAAAGGACTTTTGACAAGCTACCTCATTCACTAGCGGAGGGGCCTTGACAGAGGACTTCATTTCATCTATGATGACATTTTCATGATGTGTAAAACGGAGCTTTGAAATGGAGTAAAGGGGAGAATTAAATGAAATAATAGATGTAAGAATCCCTTTATAGAAAGTAAATGATTATTGACGTGGCAAAACAAAGTGGGAGAATGGGTTTGGAGCCGAGGGCCTGCAGGGGCGAAGAGCACAGAAAGCAGAGGTCTGGGAGGGGCTGTGATAGAGACCAGAGGAGGCCTCCAGAAATAAGCAAAAAGTCTCAGGCTTCCTGGATATTGGCTAGGCTGTGAGTTGGGGAAATCTGAGTAGAATCCTGGGGCCTGGGACTTCATTTCAACCCAACAGATGCTCACTGGGGGCCTACTGTGAGCTTGGCACGGAGAGTGCAAGAATGAGGAAGGAAGGATGGTTTCTGCCAGGGCTGTAAAGGATCCCGAGGGGCTCCCACCAGCCTGGTGGGCCAGAGCTAAGTTGGAAGACTGCTGATTATGGAGAAAGTGATCTTCTCGCCTGATGCCATGTGCTTAGTGTAGTTTCCATAGGCGATATTGACATGATTGTTAACAATAGGACTATTGACTATAGTTTTAAAATTATTTGGGATTAAAAGAAGTCTTTATAACATGTACTACAAGGGATATGTAGTCAGCAAATGGTTTTAAAATTACTAGAAGTAGTTCGTCCATCTGTGACATAGAGTTAGGCTCATTTGTCTCACGTTTTTTTAACCAGTTATTAGAGCTTGTTGATTGTTTCCCTTTTTTGATTTAACTGTTTTTGTAATTATGCAAAGAATTTATATGGTTTCAAAAATCATAGAATATAGAAAATTCATCGCTATTTGTGTTCCGTCCCTACTCTCTCCCTCTTATGGAAAGGTAACCGTTCTTATTAGTTTATCACGCTACTGTTTCACTTGGAAAAGTATAAGCAATACCTGTATATTTATATCCTCCCATTCTTACACAAAAGTATCATTCTAGAAACATTGTTCCACAGTGTTTTGTTCACTTAACAATATATCCTACAGATAGCTACGTTAGGATAATTGCTGATGATACCAACATTGGTGGGATCCTCCTCTCCACTGACCTTCTCTGGCTTTTGCCGAAGTTGCTGGAATCTTGCTCCAG